GAGCATTTTAACCCTATGTCATGGGCCCATGGGGGTTGATTCGGAATTAGCGTCCGAAAATACATCGATTGAAGTTGGTTACAACCATCGGGGGCTCGAAGATCGACTGTAGAGTGATTTAGCACGCTCGCTCTACCCCACTCAATATAGTAGAGGCTCTTACGGGCATTGTCTGCTCGATACGCTAGGGACCCCAGATATACCTTACTAGACGTATTTTTGACCGTAGAATCAATTTAAAGTGGTTTCGAGATGATTGGACTGAGTTTACGCGGGTAAAATCGCAAAAAACCGATTTTTGGGCCAAAAATAGGCCAAAAAACCATGTTTTTTGATATTTTGAGCAAGTTAATTTTGTTGGCATGTCGGCAAAATTTGCATGGCAATAGCTAAAACATAGCCGCACAAGATGATATAAAAATAAAACAAATCGCTCTGTTTTTACGCAGGTAAAAATCCAAAAAAGTGGTAAAAATGTGCCCTTTTTTGCTTAAAGTTTGAATGATTTTTTGCAGTTGTATTAAATCAACCCAACAATAGTCACATCGTGTTTGACTAAAATTTTCCTTTCCGAGAAGTACCCACTTCATATACTTTATAGAAGTTTGAATATTGTCACTCCGCAAGCGTTTTTGCCTAATTTTCGACGCGCACTACGCGCAAAAGCATTTAGTTGTTATCAATGGGCACCCACACGTTCATCATAAATTTCAAACAGCCATAACTCAGCGAGATTATGTCCGTTCTAGCTCATATTTTCACACCAAATAGAAAACAATGTGATCGTATTGCTGACATAACATGAATATAATTACTTTATAGGCCTAAGAGTTATAGACTGTCAAAGTTTAAAACGCGCATTGGAATAGCACGTGACTTATAAGGCTATATTTATATTTCTTAACATATTCTCGATCCTTACACATCATACTATTGTGTCCAATTAATAGTTAGGTCTCTAAACTCATAGCAGAAAACACGTCTTTTTGCCCGTAAGAGCCTCTACTAATATTTACGTCTTCAGTTTGCAAATCAGTGAAACACAAACATACTATGCGGGGGGAATGATAATTATGAACATTTTGCTGCCCGAGTTAAGCAATAGCTCCTAATTTCAATCAGAAGCTGAGTAATTTTGATTTTAAGCGCTGCAACCGCTACTCGCGAGAGCGTAAAAATAGGTTTTTGCCTAATTTGTAATTACTCAACGATAACAACCTGACGTCTGAGGACTTTGTAATTGTGCTCTACCCCACCTATTATGATGAACACTTTCATGCCCAAATTTAGCTCCTTACTACAATCAGAAGCCGAGATATCTTGTATTAATTTCGTTGATCGCTACTCGCGACAGCGTAAGAATAGGGTGTGGCCTAATACTTCAACAACCTGATGTCTGAGGACTTTAAAACTACGCTCTACTCCACTCAATATGACAATTCTGAACATTTTGCTGCCCGAGTTTAGCTCCTAATTTCAATCAGGAGCTGGATAATTTTGATTTTAAGCGCTGCAGTTGCTACTCGCGAGAGCGTAAAAACAGGTTTTTGCCTTATAACTCAACAACCTTACGTCTGAGCACGTTGAACTTGTGATCTACCCTACTTATTGTGATAATTCTGAACATTTTAATGCCCAAGATGAGCACCTAGCTCAATCAGAAGCCGAGATATCTCGTATTTAGTGTGAAAATTACGACTCGCGAGCATAAAAAAGGTGCAGTCACATAACTCAACAACCTGATGTCTGTTGACTTTCAAATTATGCTCTACCCCCCTAAGGGGTCGTTCATATATTACGTTATCAGCTGAGGGGGGGGGGGGGTTTCCAAATGATTACGTTAGTGTAATTTTGACACAATAGCTATGTGTAAAACTGATTACGGAGGGGAGGGGGGGTTAAAAATGTTCCAAAAATTGATTACGGGGTGAACGACCCCTAAATGTGTTGATTCTGAACAACTTTAAAGCCAAGCTGAGGTTCTAATTCCAATTAGAAGTGGAGTTTGATTTTAAAGTCGCAAAAACGCCAAAAAAGGGCGTGGTCAATTGCGCAAAACTGCACCATGGCCAAAATTTCTACCCGAGCCAAATTTGTTTCTGGTGGGTCCCTTCAGCTATTCCAAGTCTCAAAACCCGGGGCAGAAGTTATATAAACGGGAATGTCGTCAGATCCTTGATACGATACGAAAATTATGACATACACTGATTACAAAACAAAACAAAACAAAACAAAACAAAACAAAACAAAACTACGAATTGGAAAGCTAAAGGGTCATCAATTGGACACAAAAAATCATATTTTAATCAACTAAACCATGTATATTGACAACAAAACTTGAACATAACACAAACTGTAGCTGTAGAGATATTTTAGTAATTTTGTGAAATGCCTTACTGGATTTTGAAAATCACACATAATACTAATAGAGTCACACATAACACCACAAAATAGGAAATACCCCTTGGCTTCCCCCCTACACTGTATACACTGCACTGACCTGTTTCGCTTCTGCGACATACAACCTAAAATCGTAGTATTTTCCAATACAGAGCAGTCCGCGTATGGGACTGTACAAATGGTGCCCCGGCATCCCTGAATGTCAAAAATTGTTGTCTGGGCATATTTACAGGTAATATAATGGGTTAATTGCTAATTCAGTCAGATTGGTTCTCTAAGTATCTAGTAGTATTAGTAATAGTATTAAAATAATAAATAGTATAGTTTTAGTTTCCTGACTTACCCCACTCACTCCAGAAGAAAGGGAAGGATGCTATGTTGCTCTGTTTAGAGGAGTTTATCGTGTATGTAACGATCAGATCGTACTTAGACTTCTTATCTTCCATGTCTTTACCGTATATCCTGGTAGTAAGGGCGGTAAATGCGCACGTATTCACTATTTGGACAATTTGTAACCCCCTCCCCCTCCGTAATCTGTTTTACACATGGCTATTATGTCAAAATTACACTAGCATAATCATTTGGAAACCCCGCTCAGCTGATTACGTAATATGTGAACGATATTTTATGAGCCAATATTATGAATCGTTTTTATACGAAGAACCACGTCTCATATAAGAACCGATAAATGCACGCTAATATTTTAACAAAGATGCAAATTTACCCTGTTTTAGAAAATGAATCCTGTTGTTTGAGGCGATAAAATATATATATAATATTAATATAAATATTAATATAAATTATTTATGATGGATGAAAATAAATCCCTGTGTTTGAAAACAGCACGCAACTTTAACACGTATTGTCCAGGGTCGTATGTCTTGACGAAGATCGTGGCCACCTTGTTCTTTCTCCCGATAAACGTGTAACTGCTTGCCATCTGCCGCTCATTTCGGAGGAGCTTTGTTACCAAACCTACATTTCTAGGCGGGAGTAGTCGAACCTGGCAAATTCAAATAATCCATCATTAGTTCGGGGTACTAAATTGTGTGAATTACTAACTACACTCAATAAATCTGTTACTAACTTAGTTAGCTTAATGTGGTTACCTTAGCGTCACCGTCACTATCGTCAGGTATAGTTTCCGACTCGTCTAGTAATCTTACATTCAGCTCGTAGAAGCGTGTAGTAGGGAACACTCTGTTAACGAACTCGTCCTGTTAATTATATTAGAACTCGGTTGTAATTAGTATTACTAAGTTACTAATTACTGGAAACGTGTTACTGTTAGGTTAAAGCAATATTATTAAGTAAGTAAGTATCAGAGAGTAGTATGTAGTAAGATAAGAGTAGTTAAAGTATAACTAATAAAATATACATAATACTTAATTATCCAACAGTTTTTTGACGATTTATTGAATTTAGGGTAATAGAAATATAAACTTTCAATATAAATAATGACCATTTGTATCACCGTAGATAAAACACGCTAACATCTAAGGCACACCTCAGTTTACGACAAACAAAAACTAACAAATTAATTAATAATCAATTAGTTACGCTAGTAAGAGGGTGAGCTAATTAATTAATTATCTATTAGTTACGCTACTAAGAGGGTGAGCTAATTAATTAATTAATAATCAATTAGTTACCTAGTTAGAGGATGAGCTAAGTAATTAATCAATAATCGATTAGTTACGCTGGTAAGAGGGTGAGCTAAGTAATTAATTAATAATCAATTAGTTACGGTAGTAAGAGGGTGAGCTAATTAACAAATTAATTATCAATTAGTTAAGCTGGTAAGAGGGTGAGCTAATTAATTATCAATTAGTTACGCTGGTAAGAGGGTGAGCTAATTAATTATCAATTAGTTACGCTGGTAAGAGGGTGAGCTAATTAATTATCAATTAGTTACGCTGGTAAGAGGGTGAGCTAGTAGCTGCCAGGACTCATGTTCGGGGTAATGTCCGTCTATATACTCGCCAGGTGGAGTCAGCCAGTAAAAGTCAGAGTGCCTGCAGAACACACATTTAGCATGGTTAATAATAATGTGCTATTAGTACTGATTATGCAAGTTACTATCCTAAAGAATATTATTTTTGTGATATTGCCTCGGTTCAAGTTAGTGGAGAAATGTGGGAATTTTGAGCATATTGTTATGACCACACCGCTACGGGAATATCAAAAATTGACCCTGCGGTTAATATTATCAATTTTGAATATGATTATGACCGCTAAAAATACCGCCCGTTAAACTTAAAATATGGTGGAAAATACGCGCCCAAAACCGCCAATTTTTAACCGCCATAGTATATAGTATTAGTGAGCAAAAGGTAATTTACATTATATTTATAATACACTTACACTTTGACTTACAGTGACTGTTGACACTTACCGATTATAAATTTTCATCGATAACAATTTTGTAAGTTTACAACCTACCAGGACGCGCGCCGAGTTGGACTCGCGGTACTCGTGGAACAGATATTTTACAAGTATCACCCGTTAATAACAAATAGGCGACCGACTGCCAACAAATCTATAAAAATATTTTAGAACAGTGGCCATATAATAATAATATGACAATTAAAACAAAATTTGATCTAGAACATTCGGAATGCAAATTAATTTCAGGCAAATTCCCTTTAACCCAAATAATATTGAATTATTGATATTCAAGATACATGAAGTTCAGTTATATTATTAAATATATAGCAATGAATTGGTTCTATAGTCGGAAATAACCACATAGAATCTAGATTGGCTGCATTGGAATATTTCCCTGTGCTCCACGGGCTTCCTCAGTTCCCACTATTTTCAATTTTACCGAGGAAGCAAAACCTGAAATTCTAGAACTTGTCCGTGATAGTAGTACACCAGTGTTCTTCATGATAAGATCACTGTAGAGCAGGGGATTAATTACTGAATTAATCGGTAGTACCACTATGGAGAAAATAGAATACCAAGGAGTTGCATCAAATAGCTCCAGATAATGTAACATGCAGATCACAATGAATGGCAACCAGCACATAAAGTCTGTTGAGATTATAATCGAGATTTTGTGGTTCATTCTTCTCATCTTCTGTCTGGCTTGTTCGTTACCTTTAGCTGATACCCTTTTAGTAGATCTCGCAGAAAGAGTTCCGATAATGATATAGCAGACCGATATTACTAGGAAGCAGATGAAGTTCAGCACGAGAACACTCCACACAAACCCCTGTTGAGGATCTGTCTTCCGAATGAAATATTTGAAGAGGCACACACCGTCGTTACCATAGAAACCCACTTTTGTCCGAGTTTTAGTAAAGTCTGGTATTCCCCGATCATGAGAGAAGATTTCACCCACCATTATATCTGTTAGATACCAACTGATGGGCTTATCCTGCAGTCGGCCAAAGTATTCTTCAAACACTTTCAAATGAGTTTCTTTGCTTACCGAGCCAACAAACATTTTCAGATCAACGTCATATTGCATACCATTTATAAAAAAATCCTCAAACTCTTTGAAGATGGGAGGGAGCGCAACTGTAGCCGAAAGAGCAAGTAAGATGAAAATGACAGCAAGAACTTTAACAGAACTCTTTACAGTAACCTCACCAGGTATCCTCATAGAGTTCCAGATACCATTAACCCTCACCAGACTCAGCACTGTCATTGCAAACAGAGAAAGTTGGGATCCAACAGTGCTGAAGACACCAAATACAGAGCACTCCCTGCTCGACAACCAGGTGGACTGGACTTTGCAGTAGTTTCCCCCGTGAACCATACTATCAAACACTGAAACAGTTAAGAGATAAGATCCGACTAGGATATCGCCGGTGCTAATCATGATAACTAATGATTTGTTGATAAGAGCAGCAGTAGTCCTGCTATTTCTCAGGGACAGCATACTGAAGACGATGGTGACAAGGTTAGCGAGAACCGATGAGATGCCGATTATCCAGGAGAGCACTTTCAGACCGGCACCATCAAGCATTTCTTTTGAGCATTCCTCATTACACTCGTCAGATAAATCCAGACAGTCTATCTTGCCATCACATTTGCTTGTTTTGGGTATGTAATGCTCTGAAGAGTTACACTTGAAGTGGTTTGTACAGCCTGCTTCATCCGAACCGTCCCCACAATTATCCACAAGATCACAAACCTGGGAGTACGGGATACATTTGACTCCGTTTTCACATGCAAAAATATCGTTAACGTAGACTCCCTTGACAGGCCCGTGTGATTTGAGAGCGAAAGTGAGGTATTGCTGGTGGGCGAGGGTCCCGACTCTGTGGGGGTAATATTCAGGACACGTGTTGTAGAGAGGAGGGTTAGTGAGGGGGCAGCGAGAGTCAGTGCACTTGTTGGTGCAACTTGAGTAGATGTACTGCTCTCCGAACATGTTATCACAACTTGTTTTTATGTTTGGTATTATTATTTGAGGTTTTGTTAGCCCATAGATAATATCTGGGAAGATAAAATGCTCTGAACTGCAAGGATGTGCTAAGGTCTGGAACTGTTCGAGACCCTGTTGGCAGTATGATACGCGTTTTAGAAGTCCTTGATTATAAGATGCCACCTTTTTTACTACTGATTTGGATCGTTTTGATGCTTTGCAAACCCTGTTTTCGTTTCCACAGATGTCAATTCCATCACAAAGTTCACTGAGCTCAACAAATCCACCAGTCCTGCAAACATAAACATTTGAACAACTTGCATTGTCAGCCACGTACCTCGTTGTGATACCCTCTCCGCAAGTGGGCCAGGTATCCTTCCTCTCATCCTCCCCACCGACACAGTCCTCCACACCATCCTCCAGCCAGGCTAGAGGGAGAGCTCGGCTAACTGTTCCGTTACCCCCTCTTCTCACACATGTTGGTGTGCTAATTGTGCTGCACAGGGAGATTCTCTCATCGCTCTTATCAGGACAGTCTGCAATCCCGTCGCAGAGTTGGTGTTTGTGCACTTTACAAGCTGTAGAAACCTGCTCGCAAACCGAATCTATCGCGTCATCACACAGGGGGCCCTCGCTATTACACAGCCTGTACTTAGATACGGTAGATTTAAAACCTTGAATCTCACATGTCATCCCCACTCTATACTGATCCGTACAGTTCGTCTGGTCCACACCGTTCCTACACAGAGCCACTGGGGTGCATCTCGTGAAGTTGAAAACTGAATTAGACTCACTAAACATCGGCTCGCCGTCTCCAGTGAAAATAGTTTTGAATTTATATTGACAGAGATCTCTTTCTTCTATGATGTCAGATGTGCACATTGCTGTAGCATCGCATACATGACGGTCCGTAGTGTCCCAGTACTCTGGATACCATATCCATCTGAGATACTCACAGCATCTTTTCTCATGTCCTGTAGTGCAGATATCCTCCGCTTCAATGTAAGTCACGTCTCCAGTACCCTGCTTCTTGCAATACTGCCCGTAAGTGAAACCGTTACAGTTCGCCTCATCCTCGCAGGTCCAAGTTTCACAAATATCATTACAGATGTGATCACTACTGACACTTCGTCCAGATGGCATGACAACTGTCTCCATGACAACTGTCTCACTGGTTGGATTCTCGACTAACTCTGCAAACACACCGCTGTCGGAGACGACCACCTGGAACTGGCACACCGCGTGCGGGTATGATTGCAGTGTATCTGCCTGGATCTGCTGGTGGATCCCACAAGCTTGGTACGAAATGTCGTCGTTTTCGCATTTGTGATAAAATCGATAGGTGATTTTTGTTTTTCCACTTTTACCAGGTACTCCACCTATTCGCACATCTTCATACCTCCCGAAGGAGTTATGGCACTCGTATGTGGTCCTTTTCGATTTTCCTGACTCAAACATTCGACAAGTCATCTTTAAAAATCCATCAACATTCTCAATACCACAGGTTTCTGAAATTAGGAATGAATTACAATATTGATATACGTATAGCATACTATATATATATATACTATATATACTAAATTTGTATATATATAGTTATGTTCTCTAATAATAGTATAACTAGTGCAATGGATATGGAAATATGAATCAAAGTAATGATTATCACAGATTACATCTTACCTGAAATAGAAACTGCTGTCATCACTGGTAGTGACCCTGGTAGTGACCCTGGTAGTGACCCTGATAGTGACCCTGGTGGTGACCCTGGTAGTGACCCTGGTAGTGACCCTGGTGGTGACCCTGGTGGTGACCCTGGTAGTGACCCTGGTAGTGACCCTGATAGTGACCCTGGTGGTGACCCTGGTAGTGACCCTGGTAGTGACCGTGGTGGTGACCCTGGTAGTGACCCTGGTAGTGATCCTGGTAGTGACTCTGGTAGTGACCCTGGTAGTGACCCTGGTGGTGACCCTGGTAGTGACCCTGGTGATGGCCCTGGTGGTGACCCTGGTAGTGACCCTGGTAGCGACCCTGGTAGTGACTCTGGTAGTGACCCTGGTAGTGACCCTGGTAGTGACCCTGGTAGTGACCCTGGTGGTGACCCTGGTAGTGACCCTGGTAGTGACCCTGGTAGTGACCCTGGTAGTGACCCTGGTAGTGACCCTGGTAGTGACCCTGGTAGTGACCCTGGTAGTGACCCTGGTAGTGACCCTGGCGTTACTGCTCCATTCGCCCCTGCTTCTTCAAACATCAAAAAGAACAAGAGCATCCAATTCCAACGAACAATCATGATTGTCATCCTTAAAATGTGAATATTTTAAATTGTAAAACTGTGTGTCCAAGAACATTCTTAATGTATCAGTGTAAAATAACGATATGATTACAATCAATTAAAGCTAATCTAGAGAGGATACATTTTTCTTCATAGAATAAATCTAAATTTAACGTTAATGAAATGTGCAAGTGCAGGTGCTAACGACACATCAAAAAAGTAATGAACAAAATAAGATATTGTATATCTTCAGCTTTCATTGGTAATTGGTAACGTACACCATTAGTCAGTACCTTCGTTTATCTTGCATTCAGTACCAGTACAATAATTATAAGTATAGACAGTTTAGTTGTATCCGTACATTAATTGCAAAATATCCGTACATAAACTGACACTAGTACTACAGACTACTTCAGGGGGGGGGGGGGGGGGACACTAATACTAAGATACTATAAATTATAAAAGTAGTGTAGTTGTACAGATAGGAAGTGGCTGATAATGGTATTGTTTAATCCGGCGGTGTTTAATGAACGATTACGTGATCTAAGGGAGAATCTTCGCGTGTGTTTCGAATACATTTCTCATAGGGGGGGCGGGGGGGGGATAATGGTATCTCAGCCAGATAACTTGTTACGAGATGAGGGCAATTACCCAGGTTATGTGCTTATTGTAACACATTGTTGGACACTATGTGCTATTACATAATTGTAGTAGTGATAAAAGGTGTAAAGGTAACCATGTGTAACACGTATTAAATCAAGAAGACGAATTCAAATGTGGCATCTTATATGCTTTAGTTCGACACGTACTGTAGTTACACGGACTTTATTTAAATTAAATATATTAAATGAATGCCTTAGAGCGTTCACTTTAATGACAATGTCCGTTCAAAATTGTGTCCGTTCACAAAATGTCCGGTCAAATAACGTCCGATAAGGTAATTTACAATTTGGAATTTGGTGCAGTGCTTAAAGTTAACTGACCTTTACACAATGGTAGACTAAGCGTTACATGCGCTCAGCCTGTCATTCCGCTGAATCTCTATTTATATGTTTATGAACATGATAGCCTGAGGTCCCCAGGTAAAACAAGCGGTGCCCAGGTAACTCTTACTCCGTTTTATAGATCTAGATTGAAAAACAGTTTTTAAGATTACCTAAACGTTTTAAAATTTCTGATCTCGTGCACCTGCCATTTAACTTTAAGTTTAACCATGTGATTCTATGATAAGGACCCGGCAATAACCCTTGGATCACAATCAGAAACTATTTGTCGAACTACTGGAAGTACGCTAACTTGAAGTTCGACAAGGGTGATTTCTGGCGAACTTAAATTGTCGAACTAGAGTGCGTGTCGAACTAGACAACGTGAATCTGTTCACCAACAGTATGAGTCACCACTATTAAACTTGGTGACGACCACGACACTTGCAATTTGCATGGTCTTTTATTATTAATTAAGTTAATGGACAATTACCTACTGTCCATTGTCCACTAATACACATCTTACACCTCTAAAAATAGCGGAGGGGGGGTAATGGTATCTCAGCTAGATAACTTGTTACGAGATGAGGGCAATTACCCAGGTTATGTGTTTATTGTAACACATTGTTGGACACATTATGTGCTATTAAATAGTTGTAGTAGTGATGAAAGGTGTAAAGGTAACCATGTGTAATGTGTATACATACTAACACATTAAATCAAGAAGACGAATTCAAATGTGGCATATTATATGCTTTAATTCGACACGTACTGTAGTTACACGGACTTTAGTTAAATTAAATATATTAAATGAATGCCTTTGAGTGTTCACTAATTTAATGTCCGTTCAAAATTGTGTCCGTTCACAAAATGTTCGGTCAAATAACGTCCGATAAGGTAATTTACAATTTTGAATTTGGTGCTTAATGGTAGACCAAGCGTTACATGCGCTCAGCCTGTCATTCCGCCGAATCTCTATTTATATGTTTATGAACATGATAGCTTGTACTTGTAGGTTTATAACCTTCCAGGGGCAGGACGCGCGCCGAGTTGGACTCGTCGACGGTCCAATATTTGAAACAAATATTTAACGTGTATCACCCGTTAAATGATAGCCTGAGGTCCCCAGGTAAAACAAGCGGTGCCTAGGTAACTCTTACTCCCTTTTATAGATCTAGATTGAAAAACAGTTTTTAAGATTACCTAAACGTTTTAAAATTTCTGATCTCGTGCACCTGCCATTTAACTTTAAGTTTAACCATGTGATTCTATGATAAGGACCCGGCAATAACCCTTGGATCACAATCAGAAACTATTTGTCGAACTACTGGAAGTACGCTAACTTGAAGTTCGACAAGGGTGATTTCTGGCGAACTTAAATTGTCGAACTAGAGTGCGTGTCGAACTAGACAACGTGAATCTGTTCACCAACAGTATGAGTCACCACTATTAAACTTGGTGACGACCACGACACTTGCAATTTGCATGGTCTTTTATTATTAATTAAGTTAATGGACAATTACCTACTGTCCATTGTCCACTAATACACATCTTACACCTCTAAAAATAGCGGAGGGGGGATAATGGTATCTCAGCTAGATAACTTGTTACGAGATGAGGGCAATTACCCAGGTTATGTGCTTATTGTAACACATTGTTGGACACATTAAGTTGTATGTGCCTTTGGGACGACTTTCGCAAATGCGAGAGGAATGACCTCGGCGAGGGCTCCATTGGTTTTAGTACGTTGCATATTTATTTAAAAAAAAGAAAAGAAAAAAAAAGAAAAAAAAAAGGTTGTATGTGCTATTACGTCATAGTTGTAGTAGTGATGAAAGGTGTAAAGGTAACCATGTGTAATGTGTATCCACTAGGAGCTCAGCCTGCAATAAAATAACAAATAACAACTCTAATAACAAACTTGTTGATTACTTCGGCTGCTAACACATTAAATCAAAAAGACGAATTTAAATGTGGCACCTTACAGTTACATGCTTTAGTTCGACACGTACTGCAGTTCGGCAAACTCTAAAGTTCGACTTTGTCGAACTAGAGTGCGTTACACGGACTTTAGTTCGAAACGTACTAAAGTTCGACAAAAGAAATTCGACTGGATAAGAAAAATATTCATGAAGATAAAATTTGTAATTCAGAATATCTTTCAATCTAATTTTTTATCGAATAATTTTGAGTTGCATATGAAATTTGATAACGTTCCGTTAGCCAGAAGTAACGGTAATATTAGAGGACATGATGTTCGAACTCAAAAAGTCGGAAAGTTTCCGGGGTAAGAGTACACTTGATTCTGGATCTGATGACTAAACTTTGAGCAGTTCACCTTTTCCCTAGTGACCAAGGATCCTGCCAAGAAAATTCATACTATAACGTAGTTGTAAACGTTAACTCTTGTTTTTGTTAAAATTGCATGGCTTATTTGTCCTTGTCCCTCCCATTCAGGATTATGCATTATGCAAAGACTGCGCATTCTTTATAATAATATTCAAGTAAGCCTAGTCGTTAGTCATAGACATAAGACAATCCGGTCAATCCAGGTTGATGTAGGATTATGTACACATGCTAAAGAGTGCGACTGAGGAGATTTGACACTTAACACTTGACACCGTGCTCAAAAATAATCATCGGTCGGCTCAGTTGCTTTCTACTGCAAAGACTGAATTTGGTAAACTTCATAAATTTCGGATAATATCAAACACACTCTTTTCAAACACTTACCCCGAAAAACCTTAGTTGGGAACTCAGACCTAAGTTTTATAAACTGTTGAAAGGTTGAAGTAACTGTAAGTAACTGTAAGTAACTGTAAGTAACTGTAAGTAACTGTAAGTAACTGTAAGTAACTGTAAGTAACTGTGAGTAACTGTAAGTAACTGTAAGTAACTGTGAGTAACTGTAAGTAACTGTAAGTAACTGTAAGTAACTGTAAGTAACTGTAAGTAACTGTAAGTAACTGTAAGTAACTGTAAGTAACTGTAAGTAACTGTAAGTAACTGTAAGTAACTGTAAGTAACTGTAAGTAACTGTAAGTAACTGTAAGTAACTGTAAGTAACTGTAAGTAACTGTAAGTAACTGTAAGTAACTGTAAGTAACTGTAAGTAACTGTAAGTAACTGTAAGTAACTGTAAGTAACTGTAAGTAACTGTAAGTAACTGTAAGTAACTGTAAGTAACTGTAAGTAACTGTAAGTAACTTTAAGTAACTGTAAGTAACTGTAAGTAACTGTAAGTAACTGTAAGTAACTGTAAGTAACTGTGAGTAACTGTAAGTAACTGTAAGTAACTGTAAGTAACTGCAAGTAACTGTGAGTAACTGTAAGTAACTGTGAGTAACTGTAAGTAACTGTGAGTAACTGTAAGTAACTGTAAGTAACTGTAAGTAACTGTAAGTAACTGTGAGTAACTGTAAGTAACTGTAAGTAACTGTAAGTAACTGCAAGTAACTGTAAGTAACTGTAAGTAACTGTGAGTAACTGTAAGTAACTGCAAGTAACTGTAAGTAACTGCAAGTAACTGTAAGTAACTGTAAGTAACTGTAAGTAACTGTAAGTAAC